ATATAAAATATATATGGAATGAAAAGAAATTTATAATATAAATTATATTATATTAACAATTTAAATCAAAGAAATTTATAATGTATTCAAAACATTAAATATTCCAAGTATCTATTGATTATGAAAAATTATCTTGTAAACATATAAAACATATAACAAAATTTACTTAACTATATCAAATGAAAAAAAATCGTTTTACAGTTACATCTGCAACAAATCCAATCTGAAAAAGAAAAATTATGAAACATACGTGTATGCACAAATATAAAATATATATGGAATGAAAAGAGATTTATAATATATTCAAAACGTTTAATGTACATTATTTATCATAAAGAATAAAAATGTTTTTTTTAAAATTCCAAGTATCTATTGATTATGAAAAATTGCCTTATGAATGACAATATATATGTAATAAAGTTCCCTTGACCACATATCAAATGAAAGAAAGATTGCTTCATAGCTACATCTATCTACAATAAATCCAATCTAAAAAAGAATGTATATGCGCAAATATAAAATACATATGAAATGAAAAGAGATTGCTTTATAATGTATTCAAAACGTTTAATACACATTATTTATTATAAAGAAAAATTGTAAAATATCCACAAATATAAAAATACGTATATATCGAATGAAAAGAGATTGGTTTATGATATTCAAAATATTTGATAAATTCATATATATTCGTGAAACGCACACTCGTATCTATCTACAATAAATCCAACCTGGAGAAGAAAAATTGGCTTACGACGATCGACTTACGTAACGCAATTTACATACATATTAAAAAAAAAAAAAAAATAAAAAAAAAGAAAGAAAAAGTTGCAGCAAAGAGTGAATACACGATATATACAGACAGATATGAAAGGCCTTTTCTATGGAGTACATGAGAGAGAAGTAACGGAAATATTGTGAGACGGGTAGGAAATGCCTTGCGGTGCAATGGTTTAACTCGTTTGCGTGTGAAAAGGAGGAGAACCCTTTAAGCCTCACCGTGGCAACGTTATTGCGAATGCTCCTCCTTTTCCACATACTTGACACGTGTGTATACACACGGGGCTTTTCCACAAGGTTCAAAGGTTGACTGCGTATTTAACGTTGCAGAGTGTCACTTATATCTTTTGGAAAGTGTCGTCTATTGTTTGTTGGTTAAATCAGTGAAGTGATTGGACAAATAATATATTTTTTCTTTTTTTTTTTTTTGAATATCTGTTGTTTGCACAAAGATTTCTTGTTTTGATAGAGAAATAAAAACAGAAGAAATAAAGGAAAGTGAAGGTAAGAGAAGAATAGTGAGAATGGAAGAATAGTAGTTTAATTAATTGATAGTAGTTTTAATTAATTGAAGAATGGAAATGTATAATAATTAATAAATAATTGTTATAATCAATAATGAATAGAGATTATTTACAAAAATTTCTTCTTATTTTAATGGAAAAATAGAAAATGGAAGAAGGAATAATGGAAATAGAGAATGAGAATGGAAGAATACTTCTTCTTTTTTTTTTTTTTATAAAGAAATAGAAGGAAAAAGGATAATATGTAAATGGAGAATAAGAATAGAAGAATAGAGATAATAGAAAATTAAGATTATGATGTGATTGGCCTGAGAGAAAAATATTTGAGGATGAAATGGAGTAGATCTGATTAAAATTCAAAGCAGGATGAATATTTAATTAGACAAATATTAAATATTTCAAAATTTTTAAATTTTTAAATTTGAATATTTACTCAAATATCAAATATCACAAAGTTTTCTCCTCTTACTATTTTTGATAATTCTATAGTATTTTTTTGAATATTTCATCAATCAAATATTTCAAATGAATTTGATTATTTAGTAAACATTATTGAATTTTAAATTTCCTGAAAATTAATAAATAAATATTAACAATTTTTATTTAATTATGATTATTTAATTATTAATTATACAAAGGAAAAGAGAGAGAGAAAGAGAGAACGTTAGTAAGAAGCATAAATCATGAAAGTGTCTAAGAGGCACGTTTGCAGCACAAAGGATTAAACTTAGTTCAGTTTGGCTTGTTTTTGCTAACTGCTTGGACATCTCTAGTTTACTCAGTTTGGAAATTCCCTTGATTCAACTATGAATGTTCATGCAAATGCATATAAAATAATCTAAAATAATGTTTAACATCGATTCTTTACAATAATCAAATCTTAATACTGCAAAGAATTAAAAAATTTAAATTATGTAAAATATTTTTTAAACAAATTCCTTATTATTAGAAATTTTTACAAAATCTATTTCAACATTACAACATTATAACATTTCAAATCAGCCAATTATAAAACAATTTGTTATAACAATGAATATATTATTAACTAATACTAAAAATATAAATGTAAAGAAAAATTTCTCTACTTCAGTATATCTCAAATATTCAAACATTATTGACATTCGTGATAAACAAGAAGAAAATCAAACCACTCCAGATCCAAAAGTGAACTAATCCTTCTAAATTAAAAAAAAAAAAACTTAACTCAATTTTATTCAACATTAACAATATAATTTTTCAATAACCAATAATCTGTCGTAAAAGAAATCTGATTTATCATAAAATTGTCCTTAATTTATCATAGAAATCAATCGACTTAAATGATTCTTTATAAAGAACAATATATAAAAATCTAACAGAAAGTGAAAGATTCCAATAAAACATCCATTGTGCGAATTAAAGCAACGATAAAAAAAAATATATTCCACTTTAAAGGATTGATGGAGAATCGCACCCAACATCGACAAACACCCATAAAATCGATCGCGTCCCTCGCAATTAAGGATCTCCTCTCAAAAAATCAAATTGCACCGCCCTCCAAACGCTTGAATACCTCGCATCCTGCTACGCGTGGAAATCCGTGATCGTAAATCAGGCACCAGTTGGTCAGGCCACTGGTTCTCTAATCTATTCGAGGCTGGCTGGTGGCGCGCACCACACTTGGCACACACTGTGTACACACGTGTAATCTAGGAACCTAGTGTCCGTCGTTCGGCTATTTATAGAGGAAGGGAAAAATGGCCCGTGTCGATATATCGATTCGCGCCGACCTCCGTCTTCAACCTCCTCCCCCCTCCTCCCTCGTGCGCCAATGTATTACCAACCAACGCTTTTAAACCGCGTGTTACTACCGTTTTCTGAATTTCGAAATGGAACTGGAATTCCCGCCTCCGCCGAATCCTAACCTCGAATTTTTATCACGGAATTAGGTATATCTTTGTGTAATCGGTAGTGGATTCCTCGAAGTGGTCGAGATCAGGGGTGAATACACCCTTCTCGAGAAGTTTTGGAAGGAGATATTTTTAACCTTTGTGTCGAATTGGAGAGTTGAATGGGTGGCTTCTTGGCTTTGTTAGGGGGATTGCGATATCTAGAGATGATCCAATTTGTATAATGGAACTCTTGTATTGCTTTTTTTTTTTTTTTTCATTTTCTTTTGGATTTCTTTTTTGCTATATTGTTATTAGGAGATTATGGTTATTTGTAGAAATTTTAATAAGATGAAGTGTATATACATCAGTTTTTCAGTCGAGTTTATTACATTTCATTTTATCTTATGACATTCGAGCAGGCTTTGCTCTATTTCAATTATATAAGAGATATATATAGATATATAGTGTAATCGAAGGTAATATCATTATACTATAGAGATTGTAATAATACTGCGCAATTGAATATTTTATATAGCAGAAGAATTAGATTTATGAATTATAAATGAGAATTGAACCTGTTTATAATATATATATATATATATATATATATATATATATATATAAGGTGTAAATTATATTGCACACAAATGATTGAAATTAAAATACTGAATTATGAAAATAATAATAATTTTTTCAAAAACAATCTCGTCGATAATATCAAGAAAAGAAATTTAAAAGTTTGACTTAAATTATATTACATATTATTCTTCGACAGAAGTCATTTTTATTGCAATATTTAATATTTCTTTCTATTTAATAAAAGTTAAAATCAGAAAGATCCGTACTCGTGTTTCAAAATTAAACACAATCGAGTATTGTGTTATCACCTTTTTTTCTTCAGAAATTTTCCCTCGAAATATTCAAAAATTTTCGTCAGTACGTTTTCGTATATATGGATGGCAGATGCGCGACACGTATTAAATTGAGAATGGCTGTTTCGCGAATAAAATTTCGTAAAATGCAGCAAAAGTAGATGTTCAATTGTGTTTCGTTCGAATTTATTAATTAATTGAAAATCACATCTTGTTATAACAACTGTAAATATTATTAAATATAATAGTAAATATTTTAAATTCTATCTAGAATTTTTTAAATAGTTACACTTAACAATACTTACATAGAATTACATAGTATAGTGTCATAAGTTTTCTTAAATCGATTCTAAAATTCGAGTATCGAGATATTAAAAAAGATTGTTAATTGAAGAATGGAGATGTATAATAATTAATAGATAATTGTTATAATCAATAATGAATAGAGATTATTTGCAAAGATTTCTTGTTATTTTAATGGAAAAATAGAAAATGGAAGAAGGAATAATGGAAAGAGGATGAAAATGGAAGAATACTTCTTTTTTTCTTTTTTTTTTATAAAGAAATAGTAGGAAAAGGGATAATATGTAAATGGAGAATAAGAATAAAAGAATATAATGTAATAGAGATAATAGAAAATTAAGATTATGATGTGATTGGCTTGAGAGAAAAAGTTTACTAAAAATTATTATTCTATTAATTATTTTTCTATTCATAAAGAGCTTGGAATTATAGAAATTACAGAGATGGCCAAAATCACAATTTTATATTCTACATTTTATTTTTAGATGCAAACTCTCTAAATAGATAAACAACTTATTCATTAACCCATTCTAGAATCTTTAATCAATAAAAATATAAGTTTTTCAAAAGAAAAAATAAAAACAATTTTATTATTACTTATTATTACAAATATACATTTTCAAAAGATAAGATAAAATATTTAAATTGGTTAATGGTAATGGTTGCTCTCTCAATTTTATAACTTTATAATATATAATATATTAACTGCAAATTGCAGGAATTATTTTTTCGTCTATCTTAAACATGTGTCGTCCTGGAAAACCATTTACCCATCCTGCTCTGGTTAGATCACGTATGCGCGGCGTTTGAGAGTAAGGCTTGTACTCGTAGCTTCCTGTGCCATTTCCGGCGTTGAAACCAATCTAAAACAAGAATTAAATGATGTTATATTAAATTTATTATTAATTAATAATTAATCAATGATGAAACATGAACGAGTCAATGGTTAAAATTCTCCCAAAATTTCTACATTTACATGATATAAAATAAAAATATATTACATGTTATAATAGCTGATTCAATTTTGGAAAATGCTTATAAGAAGAGCTTCTTAACAATTGATGTAGCATAGTTGGAAATCTTGTTTAAAAACAATTAATTTGGCGATTCTCCATCACTATTTGGATCGATTCGAACGAAAATATTTATTATTTATTTATGTTTGATGTTTTTAAAATATCGCTTTACAAAATAGATTCCTAAGCTGTATAATCTTATAAAGTGTGGATCTCAAATTAGACTGTGATATCGAACTATATTTTTGACATTGATCCGAGTTTGACAGTGGTAGAAATAGAAATAAATATTATTTTCAAAGTTTTTCAGCTTTGTAAGCATGGACGATAATTAACGATTCGTCTCGCGTAATCTCCTTCTTCTCACGAGATTGAGAAATTGAAAATGAAATTGAATTTATTTCCGGATGGATGATTATTTTTGAAGTTAAGGATGGAAGAAAATATTCGTCGATATTCGAATTATAATATTGCGTATAATAATGTGATTTTGTTAAGAATTGGAGTTTTTTAATTATTTAAGAAGGTGATATCGAATTAATATTCTTTCACGATAAAATACGTTTGATTGGGGAAAAAAGATACTTTTTTATATCGAAATTAACTTTTTGAGCTCCAATGATGATTCAGGCATCACTCGGATCAGATGTGATAATATTTATTTATGTTTGATTTTTTTAAAATATTACGAAGATAGATTCTTAAACTGTTTACATATAATCTTATAAAGTATTGAATAATATACTATCGAATGATTTTTTAAATTTCAAATTAGACCGTGATATTGCGGATCGAATCACATTTTCGATGTTGGTCTGAGTTTGACAATGATGGGAATAGAAATATTATTTTCAAAGTTTTATAGTTTTGTAAGCGTGGAATCCGGTGAATGAAATTAATTTGATTTTTCGTTTAAGAAATTGATGATAGAGATGAAAATAGAGATGTAGTGTAAGAAGAATACAGAATGAACGAAAAATAAGAATAATAGATGGTGAATAATAATAAGAATAATAGATAAGAATATATAATAAAGAAATAAGAATAATAGATGGTGAGAATCTTCGTTATTGGAATTGTAAGGTTTGCTCTCGATAAAATAAGAAAGGTGGAAAACATCAAACAACATTTTATCACTATATACTTGCCCTGACAAATCGAGGATGCATCTTGGTAATTATGTTATTATTAAAATAATACACGAATAACATAATATAGACTTTAATATTCGACAAATACTTTCTCTCTTCACGTGTAAAGATACATAAAATATCATAATATAAAAAATTTATACATTAATTTGTATGTGAAATCATTTTAAGTTAGCCAAGAAATTCACCGAACGAATGCGAAAAATCGTATGGATTTTGGCCAAGCGAAAAAGGCCTGGAGTGCAAAGAGTTAAGGATTAAATTAAAGATAAAGAAACGAAAGGAAGGTACACGCGTAAGATGCATAAAATCTAGCAAAATGATTCAAGAAAGAAGCCACAACCCTCCTCCAAAAATTGAATCTCCATTTAATTCGTTTCTCAATTGAAATGTTCAAGGATACCCAAACTTACGAATGCTGAAATGCCGCCATCGCCGTGCACGGTGTCGCCACCTGCCTCCGTATGACTGGTCCATTGAACGTCCGGATAATTGAACATTGCGTACGTGTTCACCTCGTCGGTCGCTAGGACTATTTGGAAAGTGTTGGTGATGTAAAGGGATTTGTCGATACCACCCGTGAACGATACGTTCTTCCACGTGACGGTGATTGCGTGTTTCGGCACGAAAGCTTCGGCACCGATCATACCTTCGCGAACGTCCCACTTGAGACGTTCGCGCATCTCGACTCCGAATTGGTCTCTCCTCGTTCGTAAATCTCGTTCGATTCTAGAAATTTCAAAAATTTCAAATTTGAAAAAATCAAGTGAAATAATAAATTATTCTCGAAGTATTCTCGAACAAGTATTGATATAAAATTTTAATCTCGTTCCTCGATTAAACTTTGTATAATAATATATATATATATATTTCTCTTGATAAATATATCCTGTTCTCTATATCTATACCTTTTTATCATAGTTTCTTTTATACTACCTAAAGTATACACCTGGCTTTCTCTGATCTCTGTCCGTCGACCGTATTTCCCCTACGCGACATTTGCTGAAAAATATTCCTATGAAACTGGGATCGTTCTCCTTTGGCCAACATTTGACCGGGAACACGAGAGGATACGTGTAATGTTGTGGAGAGTCGGTGAACTCTAAGTAACCGTTTATGGATACCTGGAAAGGAGCGATTTTATTTTTACAGTAATCGAGAGATTATCGCAGGACGAATTATCAATCCTTTGCGCTCGAGAGGCGAGTCTCGAAAAGGGTTGTTCGAAAAGTAATCTTGTTTTTTTTTTTCATGAGAACGAAACGTAAAGTTGTAATCATGAATGGTCAAATTCGACAAATTCGATATCGTAAAACGAAAGTGCGTATTTTTAATGTCGAAATTTTGAAAACCAGTTTCGACATTCTTATCTTTTCGATAATAAAAAAGTGAAATATGGAGAAAATGCTCCTTGTTATAATGAACGAAAGACACAACCGCGCAGAAATGCCATCTCTCGAAATATATAATAAACACGGCTTAGAACGAGGTTGGCTAGACCAAACGTTTGACTAGCGACGCTCGTGTGAAGAAATGAAATTACTTTCCGAACAAATTTTTCTATATTTGTATATTTATATTTCTATATATTGATCACTATTATTTTTTATTCTATTACCAATTAAATACAGTATTGATTTTCTTTTATATATTTACTTATATGTTATTTATACATTATTTTTAAAGAAATAATAATAATAAAAAGTAACAAAGATTAACACGTTGACTGCCGATATTTTAGCAACGTGAGTCGTGTTGATGATAGCAAGAATGATGTCTCGCATCATTTGTTTCCATTACTGTTCGCGTCCGCAATAGAAATATTGATAATAGTAATTGTATTGACAATAGTATTGAATAATAGTACTAATTTAGTATATTTTGGATATTTTAATTCGTATAATTTGGATAATATGATTATCGAATGCCTTTCGATTAGTCGTAACAAATATACTTCTTAGTTGTGGATTGTATATAAATTATTCGTGTGGCTTGTCTATTAGAGACCTTTCACAATGTCACAATGTCACCATGAGACTCGTAATATTCAAAAATTAGAAGATTTAAAGAATTATTAAGTGCAAAATTATTAGGATTTATTAGGAAAATACAACAAAACCTTGTCAAAACCTTCAATGGAGTCAACATAATATCGGAAAAATAATTCTGGTATAAGTATTAGACTGCACGCAAATTATGTTATTCGGATACAAGACAACAACTTTTTGTCCAAATTGTCCGAATTAACTTCAGCTTTGTATAGAATGTTTTAAAATTTTACATTCAAAATAATTTTTTTAATAAATTATTTTTTTATTATTTTTGTGGTCGAATATGGGTGACAGTCAACGTGTTAAATCCCAATTTTTAAAAAAAATATTATTTGAATTAAAAAATTATATTCAAATAATTTAATTACATTAATTAATCTAAAATATAAAATAATTATTAAAAATAAAAATACTCTCGAAATTACCGAAATTACATAATAAATTAATCTTGGAATTTTATTTGGAGATTTAATATTAATTAATCTAATTCTAATAATTGTTTCTAAATTCTATTAATAATCATTGAATAAAAATATTATTTGAATTTATAATTAGAAATAATAATTATTGAATTTATAATTAGAAATAATAAAATAATTAATATATAAATAAATAAATTATGCTTTAAATTAATAAAAATGAATAATAATATAATATTTAATAAATATTTATTATTAAGTAATAGTATATTTTTAAAATTATACATATATATTTTATCAAAATATTTCATTTATCAGACATATTACTTTTTTATAGAGTTTAATTTATAAATTAGATATAATATATATAATAATATTAATTTTTAAATGCAATTTAAATGTTATAATTTAAACTAATATCCAATTTACTAAATTAATTAATTCTACAAAATTGAAAATTTTATGTGCTTAAATACTAAAATAAATAAATAAAAAAAATAATTTTGTCATCAGTTCGATTCGAGATTAGATTTCGTTATCCCCAAATAATAAGATCATCTCAAGTTGCTATTTCATTCGACTTGAAAAACTCGTCGAGCACAAAGGATTAAGGACACAGGATGACGAGGGGAGGGGGACAACTTACTCTAGTGTAATTGAATCTGAATCCGAAGAAGGGCAATTGAAAACTGAAATTCTTATTCGTTTGAGATGTCCACGCTTGAATTTCCTTCAGATAATCGCCCTTGTCATTGTCACCCCCTCTGTCGAAGAACCAGTACATGAACTCGGATCTGATCTTTTTCAATCTTTCCTCCGTCAACACGTAATCCGAACACCGAACTTGACGAACCGAATCGTCCGCCTTCCGTGAATTGGCATCTGTGAAGACACAAATCAATTATTTTATCACGTAGAATTGCGTGGAACGATTGAATGATTTTTAAAAAAATATCTATAAAAACGGATATTACAGTTTTTTTTTTTTTTCTTTTTTTTTACTGTAATAATCATCATCGATGACGTCTACTATCGTTTATTCAAGATTCAAAAATCTGATTACACCAGTAAGAAATTAAATATTTATGAAACGTTAATTTGAGAAAACTAAATAATAACAAAACTTTATATTTGGAGTAACATTTCTCTTATCCAGGTCATGCAGATTTGAATTAATATCGATATTGTATCCAAAATTATCAAAATGAAATTTCGTGGAAAGCGTACGATTGACGTAGATTAAACTGAATGTAAAAGTGGAATCGAAATGAAATTTTTTTTAATTCAGATAATATCAGGAAATAGAATCGTGATACAAATGCAATAATTCATTTCAGTAACTAAATAACTGAACAAAATTGTAAAGTAAGATTCTTAATATTCATGGAATATCTTTGTAAAGTTATAATTTTAAAAGTTATAATTTTAAAAGCCAAAATGTTGATTGCTACTGTAAAAATATAAGTTATTTCTAAACAAGTTAAGTTAGATAAAGAGACAAAAACAGGAAAACTTGAATCGCTTATAAATAAATTACAAGCAATTTATATATATATTTTCTTCTTTCACTTCTAAAATCCTTCAGATATAATACAACTTGTATAATAACATTATATATAATCATCTATCATTTCAACATAAAATCAAGAAAAAAGAATTTTTCAATTAAAAAAAATATTCTTAATAGAAAAAAGAATTTAAAATAAAAATTTTTCTCTCGGTTCTTGAAAGAGAAAGAAAAATCATCTAAAGTATTTACCATATCTTGTGTATTTCCCATCAATTCTACCAGACAGACGATGAGAAATCGCGATTTCTTGCTTATATCGTGGTTCATAATTATCATCATCGACGCTTGTCAGGACTTTCTCCTTTTCTTCCTCATTCTTGTCACGATTGCTTCTATCTTCGTTCAGCCCCGCTGCCTCTGATAAATTATTCGACGCTTCGTTCGATGATTGTCCATTATTTTCATCATTTCCTGGAAAAATCGATTTTTCATACTTCGTAGATTCGTCTAACACATTTTCGATCGCCGATATCTCGTCGATCGGCAGCAGAAGAAAGCACAAGGAAACGATAAACGCAAAGACACGATTTCGCATTTTTTTAAATAAAGGATAAATCAATCGATTTGTTTCGTCCACTGAGTGAGAATTGAGCTTGGTTTAATATAAATAGCGAATGACAGTAATATCAGTTACACTCGATAACATTTATCTCCTTGCTTATATTTAATTTTGTGATAAAGATGAGATTAATGAAAAAAGTGTAAATAGTAGTAATTTTTCATTGGAAAGGAAAATAAGCAGGTTGAGAATTATAAAAAAAAAAAAAAAAATGATATAAATATTTTTGAAAGAAGAGATACATTTATGAACGTAGATATCTCGTCTAGATTCTTTTCGAAATTTCCATTTTCTTTTTTTGGAATGCAAAACGTGACGCGAACTAGCCACATCAACCACGTGTGTGTCACGAGACGTCAATGTCGCGTGTCACGTTACCTCGTAACAGTCGGGTGCGTAAAATTTTTCTTTGTTTTTGTGAGAATGAAAATTGCATTTCGGCAAAATCTTTGTTTTATTTTTTCGACAAATATCAAAAATACTTATTTCGATTTTGAAAACGTCTATGGTACAATATCTATTAAATGCCGAGTAAAATTTGATAAAAAAGAAAAAGTTGTCACAATTTTTCAATCCTTATTTCTGTTCGCGAGAAAATTCAATTATTGTAAAATAAAATTATTTATAATTCAGATATCAATGAAAAGTGACCTGGTTTTATTATTGATATATTAAAATCATATTTTTTTCAAAAAAATTTCAAAAACATCAATGCACAATCATCCTTATCCTCAATTTAATAAAAAAAGAATTATTAAAATTGTTTAAAAAAATAATTTAAATATCGATTAAATTTTTTAATCCTTCTTTCACAAGAAAATTCAAATACTGTAAAATAAAATTAAAAAAAAAAGAATTATTAAAATTGTTTAATAAAAATTTCAATCTCTTTCGAAATAAAATATAAATATTGATTAAATTTTTTATTCTCTTCATAAGAATATTCAAATACATATGTAAAATTCAAATACAAATGTAAAATAAAATAATTTATAATTCAGATATGAATGAAAAGTGACCTAGTTCGATTATTGGTATATTAAAATCATACTTTTTCCAAAAAATCTCATAAATACCAATACAATCATCCTTATCCTCAATTTAATAAAAAAAGAATTATTAAAATTGTTTAACAAAAATTTCAATCTCTTTGGAAATAATTTAAATATCGATTAAATTTTTTAATCCTTTTTTCAAAAGAAAATCCAAATACTGTAAAATAAAATAATTTATAATTCAGATATGAATGAAAAGTGACCTGATTCGATTATTGGTATATTAAAATCATACTTTTTCCAAAAAATCTCATAAACATCAATACAATCATCCTTATTGTTAAATTTAATAAAAAAGGAATTATTAAAATTGTTTAACAAAAATATCGATTGAATTAAAAATTCGTAGAATAAGATATGATTCGGTCAGATATCCAATTACGATCAACCCATCACATTTATAAATTGATATACACAACATAAAATTTAACAAAATTTAACAGAGATTCGCAAAAACTAGAACGATATAATAAAAAAAAAAAGTACAATCCTCCATGTTCCAATCTCTTAAAACTCTCTTATTAACACTAATTATTCATTCAACAAAACTTTCTCCAGAATTCTCCAGAGGGCACCACACCACTCCTCAATACTCAACTATCAATACCTTAACAACCGCAAATTCGATTTCCTCGGAATGGAATGGAAATGCTTGCCCGTCTTAATCCCACCCCCTTACAGCATAAATTCCCCCTTCCCCCCTTCCTCCCCAAGTTGGAAAAAAACCCGAGCCCCAACCGGAACATCTTCCAGATTTATCGCCGGATTTAACCGGATTTTTGAAATCAGCCTCATTGTCGAAAGAAATCTTGGAATCGGCTCTTTCCCAGCAAATCGGATCTCCTTTCCTTGGCTTCATTTACCTGGTTGAACGGCCGATTTCGTCGACAAATCGGCGGCCACCACCAATACGTCTGAACACCGCCGAGAGGGAGAGTTTGAATACACACCGAAAGGGGTGTATTCCCGATTGAGAGCCCGAGAAATTGGTTTCGTTTGTGAAATTCCTCGCCTAGGTGAAGGACACTTTGGGATGGGAGGGGGTGGGGGATGGCTCTCGCTCCTCTCCGTTTCGGTCGGTCGTCTCGTCGTCATCTCGCTCGTGAGTGACACCTTAGGGGGAGAACCGAGTCTTGGGAGGGGTGGACGAGTGGATGGTAATGGAATAGGGTTCGATAATAGGGGAGGGGGGAGTGTAACGAAATCCGTGGTGAAATTGGGCGAATATTCGTGTAATCGATCATTTCTATTCGAATAGAGTTTTCTGTGCCTGTAAATAATTGCTTCGTTTTTTCACAAGTTTCGAAATGTTATAAAATTTATTTCGATTTTTTTTTTTTTAAATTTTGTTTATAGAATACGAAGAACTTCTTTTTTAATGAAATTGAACTTGGAGTAACAAATTGAAATAAAAATTTATTTAATTTCTATTTTTATATATATATATATATATATATATATATATATATATAATACAACCAATAAATAAAAAGGCTGGTATCTTTTTCCCCTTACTAAACAGCGTTAGCAGCATTCGAACATTCGAATCTGGTCTGGCCAGAGGTTCTACAATCTACTTGCGACTTAGTTGGCCCCAATGAAATTAAAATAAAAATTTACTTAATTTCTATTTGTGTGTGCGTATGTGTGTAATAATACAATCGATAAATAAAAAGGCTGGTATCTTTTTCCTCTTACTAATTAGCAGCATTCGAGCATTCGAATCTGGTCTGGCCAAAGGTTCTATAATCTACTTGCGACTTAGTTGGTCCCAATGAAACTCGGAGTAACAAATTGATCATAAATAAAAATTTACTTAATTTCTATTTTTGTGTATATATGTATGTGTCTGTGTGTGTAATAATACAATCAATAAATAAAAAGGCTGGTATCTTTTTCCCCTTACTAATTAGCAGCATTCGAGCATTCGAATCTGACTAGAGGTTCTATAATCTACTTACGACTTAGTTGGCCCCAATGAAATTGAACTCGGAATAACAAATTGATCGTAAATAAAAATTTATTTAATTTTTATTTTTGTATATATAATACAATATAATAAATAAAAAGGCTGGTATCTTTTCACTTCCCCTTATTAAACAGCATTTAGTAACATTCGAGCATTTGAATCTGGTCTGGCCAGAGGTTCTATAATCTACTTGCAACTTAGTTGGCCCCATAGCTGGCCGTAGGTGTTCCGGATTCTCGGGGAGTAAGTACTTCGGTTGTTCCTGGCGCTCGGATACTTTGGAAGTGAAATAGTGTGTATCCTAGTAGGGTACCTGCCAAATATCCAACTACTGGCCCAAGGAAACTACCCTGGAATATTGTCGAACCGCAAAGAGGTAATCCGGGGAAGTGCAAGACTCGAGCTCAGAATCAACTGGGCGACCGCTGTAGACTGTGGTTTAATATCCGACGATCTTGGAAAGGTTGGTGGTGATAAGAAATTGAGGATACACGTTATTTGGCGCTTCTATGAACCGAGGTGGACGTATCTTCGACGGTGAATGGAAAATGAGTGTGTTTTCCATTTGTTGTATTTATGTTCAGATATAATCGTAGCGTGGTTTGCATCTAAAAAAATTGAAGAAATTTAATGAAAATATTTGCTGTTTTTAATAAGGATATAGTTTTGATTATTAATAATCATTGAGTCATTATCTCGTAATAAAATTGGAGAAAATTAATATGGAAGATTGTGAGATTATATTATTTAAATTCTTATAATAATCAAGAGAAGTATAATTAGTATGATAATTTGTTCGTTTTAAAGTAATTGTTTATCAAATAAAATTATTTTCTGTTCTTCTTTCACAGTTCAATATTTAAAAAATTTCGATCAAATTATTTTTTCGATAAAAACACTTGATACTTCGATAAAACTTCGATAAAAACATTCTTCCTTCCAAATTCTAAACGAAAATTAGAAATAGTATCATATAATAATCTATATATATATATTAACAAATATTATCGAATTTCACGTGCTTCTAATAGTATCGAAATCAATTAATTAACACGATTTTTAATATAAAAGACGAAAAATTCGATATTAGTTATTAAAAGATATTTTTCATTAATTTACCAATATAATAAATTAAACAAAATTTTTCAGTTACATTGATAATTTAATAAAATCTTAACATCAATTTTCCCATTAATTAATTTACTAATATCTAACTAACTCTATCCCCCATCTTTAAACGAAAATATTAATTTTACAAGATCTTTAAACGAAAATGTTATATCTTCGATCCAACTCCTTTCAAACAAGAAAAACAGAGATACCCACGAACGATTCCGAATTAAAGAAACAACGTTTATCCAAATAATTCACTCCCTTCCTCCTCCTCCCCCCTTCCCACTGATTCACATCTTAATACACAACTCGTGTTATGCAAATGCGTTACGCAAACTTAAATCGCAAAACAAACGAAAAGACACACACCGAACACCGGATAAACGTCGTATAAATGGCACGTACGATAACGAAACAGTGTCCTCGTGTCCTCTTACAGAATAATACCTATCGTATCCACGCTCGAGAATTTACTTTAGCCGTGGCAGTAGAAGGTACGTTAGTTATGCCGACGTACCTGTCGATAACGCGTGTTCTTTTTATCAAAACGTGATACAGGGTCAGACGTCGCGTCTCCCACGCGCTTTAGCTTGCTACTCTACTAGCAGGGTGTATATACCGGGTGTCGCTTTTCGAAGTCGGAACGAACCGACGTGACCGACCAAAAAAATGGCATCAATCTTATCGATGAAGTGGATGTAGAGAAACAACATTGGACAAAGCTTATACGATCCAATCTCGGCTCAAATTAACCGAGAAATCGACGAAATGGAAGAGTTGAGGCGATACTCGAACCGACGTGACTGGAAAGATATTGGGAAAAAATTATGGTTCGGTTTCAAATTGGAGAAATGAACGAAAGAGAGAAATTAAAAGATGATTT